TGCAAGACGGCGCTGAGCAGTATACGTACCTTGCTGCACAATGCCATTTTGTCGCTTTTGGGTTATTCCGGAGTGATTTTCTCCTACAATAGACTGATTATGCTGTGGCCTTCCAGCGCGCTATCCTATGCTTAACGTACATCGTTTCAAACAGCGCAAACAGTCGGCGTGAATAGACAAATGGAATGTTGTACTACGCCGCTGAGATGATGGTATCGATTCATCAAACAACACGGTATTGCATTCATTTCCTCTATTAAAATGGATCGATATTTGCCGCCGGGATGTTGTGATGTTGGTGTGATCATCATGTTGGCGATGGGATAGTCTATTCCTGACAGTCACTACTTGTAGTAGCCGTGCTTAAGAAGGTGATTGAAAAAAAGGATACGAGACAGAGTCATTTAGTGATGAGAGAATGATCGTATCAATCGGATCAACGTAACTCGGTGTCTTCCAAATTGATGTTTGTAGGATAAATACATATTGAAATTTCTATTTTTGATTTGCCGCTGTATACGAGGGTTAAGCCATGCTGTGACAACTCGCAGAGTTCGCTGAAGTTCACTAAAAAATGACAGTAATCGCCTTTCAATATCATCTAACCTACTGTCGATAAAAGGACATCCAATACGCAATGGATCTTCACTTGGAATCGTAATAGGCAAAGTTAGTCTTAGCCTTTTAGTATTGTTCAATTCTATATTGTAAACTGTACTACACTGTGCTGACGGATATTGAATGATGCCGTGGATTTTCAACTAGAACTAAAAAAAGAAAATCGATTTATGATATCTGGTGTAATATCTACTTTGACTTGATTCACTGACAGTTTATGTTGGCTTTCTAGGGGGCAAAAATAAAAATCAATCGTTAACGTCATGACGCTACTGAAGAATGATTCTTAAAGTTATCTATTAAGAATGGTATTTTTAGCCATTTTAAATGTCTTTTCAAAGGAGAGTTGTTGCGATAGCAGTTTAATGTGCATACAGGACGTTATTCTATCGATTCAAATACAACGAAGTCCATTACAACTACTATAGCTTATAAATCATCCACTACAACAATGGGTTCGAGTGCAATCACAAATCGTGCCTTTTTTTTGCGGGCACAAAAGGCTCTCAAGAGAACTTCTACTCTTAGTATTGGCCGCCACACAGTAGGCTAATATGCATGTCTTATAACTTGTATGATATTAGTATAGTGTGATACATTCAAGACACCCCCAAGTCTCGACAACAGCCATTACTTGACGAAGTATCTAGTCATAAAAGTAATATTACTTTTAAAATAAATACGTCGTATGCTGCAAGTTCGTATACTGTTATATTGTGATAGGATGAATTGTCCAAGGGGACGATGTATCTGACAAATAATGAAGCACTACTTTGGCTGCCTATTTGCAAGCTACAAGCAATTACACAAGACGCGTATAGGCGTACTTGCATTTCCAGCCATTTAGGCTACATTCTCGTATGTTGAATTCAAAAATTGATGGGGAAAGGCATACACTGTGATACAATCCATATGCTACTGCATATACTGTACAGTCTGATGTTTCGATTGTAGTCGAGGATGATTGGACGAATAAGTGCTATTAAAGATGCCTGGGTTTTATTACGCTATCCCTTTTCCGTAGGGATATGTAAATGTGATTTTAGTTTCAATCCTATCGGGGACATCGTACGGTAATGCCGAAAATAGTTCTGAACGATCCATTTTACGCAGTTTATTTATGCTATCGTGTACTTATTATTAACACGTGAGAAAGCGCAAGTGTTTCGTCATCATTGATACTGCGGCGATAGTATCGGAGTAAAGAAAGCTAGAGAAGCATTGTAAATTGATTAAGAGTTTCTATCGATTTTCTACTTTTCATTGTCATGCGGCGAAATGAGATTTAAGTTATGGGGTATCTTCAAATACCGTATTGTTTAATCACTAGTTTTCCTAACGCGAAGTTTGAGTATGGGTGCTTGTAATAAAGGCTATTTAACAGTTGAACGTAAATAATTAATGTAAATCATCTGAGAGAGCAGTGAAATAGGTTGCAGTTTATAAATAAGTTGAATCACAAGTTAAATGATGTAAGCACATTCTGCAGTATTGAGGAATCTCTTTATACATGTATGTTCTTTTTACCTAGCATACGCGTATATGGCTAGTTCTAGAATTTCTTTACTGGACTGAAGTGAGTCCATGACATGGAAGAATATCTTTTCTATGCCTTGTGCGTCTTGAATTCTTCGTCATCGATACGCGTAGCTTATAGAACAGACTGTACAATATGAACGGTAGTAGCGAGAGTTATAGTGTCCTGTAAATCGACATGCTCGTCCAGTAGACATTATTAGTTGTAAACCGACGAGTTCCCTTTTTCATCACATGAACGCAACTCTGGTGGTTGTCGGCATCAATGGTATACTATTGAATAATATAATTAGCAGAATGTAGTCTAAATTATTAAATACAGTCAAATGAAGCTTTTAGGTTGAATAGCATTGTCATTTGCTGATTCTTCTGTGTAGCTGTGCTCCTGAGCCTGGTTAGCTTAATTAACATAAGTAAAGTACTGTGCTAGTATATGCCGCCAATTGTTATTTAGTAATCATAGCAGTGTTAAACTCGCAGAATACTGCCTTTCAGACCTTAGGATACTGTAGATCATGACTAATATCCAGTTTCTGACTGGTGCTTTCGACTTACTACGCCGAGGTAAATTACTATTCAAAAAGCTATCTTATAATATTTTTCCATTATCTATTAGCGACAGCATAACTTACAGTTAGTACTTAATAACTGGCGATTACGGTAATATAGTTAGGGAGATTTAGACGTTAAGTCAAATACGAATAGGCATATATAGCCCCTTGCGTATCCGTCGACGTATTTCAATTTAAGAAAACAAAATAGGATACAGGTAATAGTAACTGACCACACAGTGAGTTCAAATGGTTTATTGAGCGACGCAACAATCTCGGCAACTATTTTAAAGATAGAAAACCTCTAGCGTACAATAGTGCACGAGAGAGTGAATTCCGCCACATATTAATGCCATGCCATACATGTTTTACTTCATTCGATATTATTTCCCGAATTGTAGTAGAAGAAATGTGATACTTAACTGTAGCTTCCATGGATAACTAACTTTGGAGCCCAAAAATTGAGATTTTTTAATTTCTTAGCAGTACATAAAGCTACTACAGTATGGCCGTAAATTTACTGGAAAGAAATTTAATTATACTTTATAATGGTCCGGTTGTCCTAACTGTAGGTTGGTGAAGAGTCATAATTTTACGGTGAAGCCGATAGTTATCAAAGTGACCTTTACAACATTCTCAAATCAATTTTATATAGCATATTTATAAATGCCTAGGGCATCTTCTCGGTTATTGAACAACGATACTCAACGTATAGACTAAGAATAGTAGGGCTTCTCGATATTGCCACGTTATATTCTATTTCCTTTACATACAGTAGGTTATATTGAGTGCTTTAATGGCCTGTTAAATTAAAACTGTATTTGCTTAATATCGCTGATGAAAAACAAATGATGCATCATAATGAATTTTGCCAATGCGTAAAGTATTGATAATTAAGATCCGTCATCCCATCATAGAGAAGCCCCTGCTGTGTAACAGCGGACGTATTCTAATGTTAACGCCAATGATTGCAACAAATTCGAATTTTATGTACAAATAGAAAATGAAAAGTAAACGTAAATGGATAAATTATATTCCTTATAACTTATTTCAATAAGTGCGAACCCATTAATCATAATAGCAGGGAGAGTCCTTGAAATGACCGTCCATATTCAGTACTATCATGACTTAACAGGTATAGATAGAGTAGATTTACAGCGTAAATGTATGAAACATTTAAAATACAGTTTACTGGATATGTCCAAAATGATTATCAGAACAATGATGGTTCTGTTAAACAAAGCAGACCATCCCCACAGATCGAACTTTATATTTGTTATAGTGTTGTATTGGTTTACAAGTTCTATTGGATGATACATATTCATGCTTTAACAAATGATTTGGTATATTTTACTGGTGTGTACATTTGAATGATCTGATATCCAATATTATATCATTCTACGCAGAAACAAAACATATATTGAGAAAATAATACAATCAAGAGTGAAATGCCTAAAAAGGAAGGGAGCAAGAAGTCCAATGGAACGGATTCACCTGTCACAGCTACTGCTAACGTAAAGATCCGCTTGTTGATGGCTAGCAAGGTAAGAATATTATAGACTAGGACTAGATTAGTTTTTATTTCCTCTCTGTCACATTTCAGCAAGGCGATTTAAGATCGCATATTAATGGTGTACCTAAGCTCCAGAATTGAGCATTTCACTTATTTGAATGTTGTTTGTCAGCAACAATTTTTTGCTTCTTCTGGCCACTGTGTTAATTATGATATTATTAGTGTTATTTATCGTATGGGTTGAGAAAATTGCACGTTAGTCTACATTTATTACTGTATTTTGACAATTCTTATTATGAGGCATCTTTCACTTTGAAATAAATTATCAATAGCCAGGGACTACTAGATAATCAACCTTTCAATTTAGTACATGCTGCTGTGCATCGAAATGTAAACTCTCGGAATATCGATATAGTATTTTGTTTGTAGTATCTTTTACATGTACACTTCGAATGCCTATATTATCAATCTAAAATTGTTACTGCTATCGAAAGCAGCTGGAGATGATAGTTAATGAGACCGACCGAGGTGTTACGTAATAGGAAGTCATCTACCACTGCGAGAAAGCTGTAATAACTTTGCCATTGCCTTAAGCTACGTTGTCATCCGATCGTGACCGCTATTAGTTTAAAGAACATCGTAAATGACTTTATTGTAATATATGTACATGAAGGCGTAGCGAACAGTAAGATTACGATTGAAGGACTCTTATTTAATTTTGCATTCGGTTAAATCATTAAATTGAATTTATCAATCAAACTATTTGAGTTATCTTTACAGTAATGGCTGTAGCCAATGTATTTGCTACTGCTACTCCCTATGACATAGGTAGTAACTTAAACAGAGAATGGATAGTGATACTATGCATCTATTCAGGCTTTGTTAATGCAATTGAACCAAAATGCTGATATGATATATTACGTCCTGAAGGAGGAAGGCTGTAGGATAAATTACTGATGACGATGTAATTAATTAATCCGATCACAAATTTCATAAGTATGATGTTGTATCGCTGATATACTTTTATGTATTAGTTGGATGATGCATTTCTAATAACTGTAGTATTGAATATTCCATCTGCTTCTGTGATTCAAATAGTGATTGCCTGGTGTCCTACTCTAAGTAATAATAATATACAGTAGATGATAGGATTAATGCAATGTATTTTTATCTACAGCAAGTGATATTCCTACTGTATGTGTGGTACATTAATGTGCAACGGACAAAGTACCTTTAGATTAATTGATGCAAACGGATTGCGAAAGTAGTAATTTACAAGTTTTAGACGAGAGCGGTATCTCTTGTATTTTACGTACAGCTGGAAGACAACCCTAATTTAATTAAATAAAGCATATCTAACTTACTAATTTACCGTTGTATGACACTGTATCGCTTTTCTAGTTTGTAATGTCATTAGAGGTATTTACGGAATCTACGTCATTTACAAGTAATGCTTTACGCATTGTACATTCGACATATTAAATTAACAGCAAGCAAAATCGCATTAATTAAATACAACAGGTTCCGCTTGTAGCTACTATCTTGATTATTATAGCATCATCTAAGGATATTGATGGTCTATTACATTAAGATTTTCTTCATCAAGTCGTTTGAAGCCATGCTTTAATACAAAATTCGCCATAGGTTTTATACTAAATGCTCCATCATTGAGAAAACCGTTGAAATAGTTAGTAACGCTTCCATTTAGCTAGTATTTTACCCTTTCAAGTAAATGTAGGATGTGCTACTAGATTTGATTATAGTACCTATAAATATCCTTGTGATACGATACTGTCTAATTCTATAGTGTATCACACGCTTTTGATAGAAACAGTACAGGTAACACATGCTTCATTGACAAAGGATTAGTTGAACAGAAGGTAAATCAGAACCATAAACTACAGAAATCTTGTTTAAGTATTTATGAACAACTCTTGTAGTTTTGCTTACATTACATAGCGTTTTTATCCCTAGTACTGTGTTGATTGTATGTGACAGTTTTAATATACAAACTGTTAGCTGTCAAGGGGTTGAACGTTCTGTATCATCAGAAACAAAAGGACTTTCTGTGGGACATTGCACAATCAGCAGTGTCACTGTACTGTGTAGTATACTAATCAGTTTGATAGAGTCCAATACAAGACTACAGCACACTATTGCATAATATGGACATGCAATGAGGCCATGAACATTGTATTGTAGACTAGTAAGTAAGTAAAAAGTAAAAAAAAAACGCTTTTAAAAGCAGACCATGGGGAGACTCATACAGTACTACAGTGTGCTATCCGGTGAGTCCAGTATACTATATACTACTTTATATTCTATTTGCTTCACTGCGTGATCAGTAGTGTTTGCATAAGAATGTTTTGTTCAACTTGTCAAGTAATTTTATTAGAATGCTAATTATGGTTGCATTATTGTTGAATATTGAGCCAACAAATCAATATTACCTTTGTTTCCCACGATGAATAGTTGGCAGTCTGTTTCTATGACATCGACGTACTGTGTATAGTAGTGTACAAAAGGATGTTGCTACGCTTTGAGTCTTAGTTTCGTAATCCATACTGTTGTATATACTGTATTACTCGAGCAAAACACTAACCTACCGTGTACCCTTGTACGGGTGCAATCTCAGGGCAAGTTACATGGTAGGAAAATGGATTGTATATCATAACTTTTATTCGCTTACAGTGTTCTGGGTCGCGGTGAAAGGGCGTAGATTTGACATAGTTAATCATTTAAACCTTTAAATGAAATCATTACTAACCATGACGCATTCTTTATTGCTTACAGGAAGCTGGACGCATAATAGGAAAGGTAAATTGATATGGTCATAAATAATCTTTTTCTTTCTTAGTTGAAGCTATACATTATATAGAAGGACTCATGTTATCGATACATTATAGATCGTGTCGAGGTTTACATATAAATACTACAATAGTACATTGAAATGATATCATAAAAGCTTATTTTACTCTCTTATTGCATACGTACCTTAAATCGTTATTCTTGTATGATAGTGTGATAATGCATTGATTATATTATTTATTGGTTTAGTGATCATAGAAATGATTTAAAACCTTATCTTATTCATTCTTATTAACTTATTGAAACATAATTATAGGGCGGTGCTAAAATTAAATCTTTTAGGGAACAGGTAAGCCTGTAGTAGCGTGCTAGTTCGATGTTAAATCATGGTAGTTTGGTGCAATTATTAACGTTAGGTGTTTTCTACATAGAGTACTGCGCGTATCAATATCTCAGACGGAAGCCTGCCAGAAAGGTAAGATGGATATTCAAATTACAAAGTATTCTCTTACTTAATTCATTGTATTATTGATTTATCACATTTAACTTATCTTGCACTTACATTAGGATTGTTACTGTAAATGGACCAATTGATGCCGTTTGTAAAGCTTTTAAATTAATATGCCAGAAATTGGATGAGGTATGTGTCATTACATAAAACTACTGCGCTATATTGAAATATCATAGACGTATATACTTCAAATCTGATTTTATTTATTTAACTAATTATAGGATTTCCGTATTATCAACAATTCTTCTAAATCCGAGCCAACCATAAAGTTTGACTTGCTAATTCCCGTGCCACACTGCAGATCTATCATTGGCAAAGGTGGCGGTACTGTAAAAGAGATCAGAGAATCGACGGGAGCACAAGTATCTATTGCTAGCAATGTGCTACCCAATTCTTCTGATCGTGTGATGACCATAACCGGTATTGCTTATTTAGGGATATTAATAGATTTTAATTTTAATTCTAATGGTTTGTATTTGACCTACGATAGGATCTTCATCTGCTATATCGAAGTGTATCCAACGTCTAAGCCAACTATTATCGGAGTTACCCCTAGGTCAGCATGTTCCTTATCAGCCGAAACCTCCAAACGTACCGCCGACAGCGTTTCAAAATGGACAAGTTCATGAACTAGTGCGTATTATACTATTATTCTAATCAATATTGTCTCATTCTACCTATTGATAATACTATTGCATTGCTATTATTTATTTCTTTCCGAAATTACAGACATTTGCGGTGCCTGGACCATTTCCTATTCCTCCACATGCTGTAAGTATTACATATGCAAAATGCGTATTTGTAAATTGTAGCATAATAAGACTTAATAGTATGTATTATATATTAATTTCTTTAATCTAAATGCAGCAGCTTCCTTATGGACCTCCCGTACCTGTGATAACGCAGATTGCACCTTATTCAGGTAATTTTATCGGATACAATGCTGTTGGTCCGTTAAGTACTTTTTATGTTAGACACTAATAAATTCTCTCTCTGAATGTATGCGTTGTGAATAGTAGATATTCCTTCTATAGTAACACAAAATTTTTCTGCAATGTCAAATGGTGGTACGTTTGCTCGATCAACTCAACTATTAAAAATTCCGCATGATGTAAGAAAATTTACAGATAATATAGTTTTTATTTGCAAACTTATTCTAGAGATGCTATAGAGGCTGTAATTTGCATTTATTGTGTTTATGATGACAATATTTAAATCGTTCTAGTTGATTGGCTGCATTATTGGGAGAGGAGGAGTTAAAATTAACGAAATCAGGTAAAATTGTTAGGATTGCATTTATTATAATAGGAAGTTACTGATTATAAAATTGTACGTAGTGATATTTACTAAAAGGGATCATGCACGTTTGTTATCTTTTCCATGGCTATTACATGTACCTTTTTACGATCGATTGTTTACTACCATTGCAGGCAAATTTCAGGTGCTAACATCAAAATTGCTAGTCCTAATGGCGACACTACTGGTCGACAGGTTACCATTAGTGGTACACCGGAATCTATTTCTGCAGCTCAATATCTAATTAGTCAAAGGTATGATATGCATAGGATAAATTTTATTATTTACGGTTTGATATTGTAGTTGATGATGAGAATTAGCTATTACGTTATGATAAGGTGTAAATGAATCGATTGCTAATTAATGAAGCTTGCTATTATCTTCCGGCAATTCCTACTTTAGAATCTACCATGAGGTCCACAAGCCGATTAATTACCGGCCGGTTATGGTACCAATTATACAGCAGTAAGGACAAGAGACCGTTATTATCGGCTAAACTACATTTTACTAATATCATGTGTTAACTCAAAACGTTAGCTATACGAAACTTATACTGTAATGTTACCTCTAGTTATAAAGGTCTTCATGTTTGTATATATTCGTATATTGTAATGCGATTGTGAATTAGAATATTATATGAATATTGTATCATAAAAAATCGATGTTAAATGTTATAGTGATGCGTTCCATGTAGGAATATCGAATACAATTACTTAATTATGACAATACTGTAGAAGACTACTAGGAAATTTTTGATTAGGTAGCCAGATTTAAGACAACTGCGCTGCCCTATGATATGATAGAACTTTAGTAATTCTTAACAAATAACTTAATGATGTATAAAAACTTTCTCAAGTTTGAAGCTTTCATTGAAAAATAGTATTTCATCTTATGATATCGATATTATTATTACAATTTTATTGTTATTATTATGATTGTTATCTTTCACCTTCACTATTATAGCACATATTAATGTCAAATTTATAGGTGAAAAAGAAACAAGTTCAACAACGGTAAATTATGTTTACTGCACACTTTGAATACAAATTGTAATTGAAACTGTCATTGTAGCTAAGGAGTAGCTTTATGGTATGGTTAAAACTATTTATTAACGTAATAGTAAATATTATATCGAAATCTTTTAAACATTATAATCGTCCATAAAGTCACTTAATAAAGTCGTATCAATAGGAATACTTAAATGCTCAACACCAAGTGGTCCCTATAATTAATTAAACAAATCAAGCAACCCTTAGACACAATTTGACTGAAGTAGCATAATACAAAATAAGGCAAATAAGAAGTAGAGGAACCTTGCGTGATTTAATCATTTTATGATCAAAAAATTCTGTTAGATGAGCCTTAAGAGTCGATTCACTATTAACTAAGAAATTTTCGCGGCATTTTATGTAACATTCTTGAAATGGTATTCCTAAATCAAAAATGGAGGTACATTAGTATGCTTATTACTGCGTTAATGGTTACCTTATTTCCTATTATCTATACCTAAATAACTACCAGTGTTGATATTGTCCAACTGGTATTTCCCTATGAGCCTAAAGATTTTCCTACAAATGAATTCAGTATATAAAAAACAGCATTAGAATAGAGCGGCTTTGATGTCATATAATTATAAATTTATATGATTGAAAACATATACATTACATGATAAGCCTGAACTTTATTGCATACTTAGCATTTGGTGTTAAACTTTCGAATACGTGCATTAGGGAACTGATTGTAATATAATTATCGTGACGTCCTGTAAGCGAGCTTTCATATGGAATTTCATCTATATACGGCTCAAATGTAGTTACATCATGGTATATCCAGTTGAATCGGCTAAGGTGTGCTTGATCCCAAACTAAAAAGTTACGAAAAGTCCTTTCAACTTAATTCACTTATAAAACTATTGTTAAAAATTGCACAACTTTTAAAGAAAATATATATTTTAGATACGAACGCAATGGAGCATTTAGCTGATCTATTGAGGCAATTATATGGATAGTAGAACACTGCGCTAGATAGCTAAGCATAGTCTGCACCTGAATAAAATGATGGTGAAGGTTACAATAAACATACTCGTAAGCAATAGCAAGCCTTACATGATTGCATTGCAAGTTATACAGTAAAATTAGAGTACCGCTTCTCTTTTCAACGTGGTGCTATCGATATTATGGATGATAATGAATAAGTGTTGAGATGATTCTACAACAACAAAATATAATAGCAAGTTAGATCGAAAACAATTTTCGTCTTGTACAGCAATAAATTCCGATCGGGAGGTGTATCAAAAGTTAACATTAGATGATACCATTTAAAGAATTTGTAATATAATTGCATTGATCAATTGGGCTCCGGAATGAAGCCTCAAATTTTAGGATATCTTGAGTAATGCTATTTAGGATCTATATTCGATGAAAATGTTAAGAAAAGTTTTAAGTAACTGAATAAGAATCTTATATCGACTCTTTGCAGTCCTCTAAAATAATGATTACTACAGGAAAGACACACATGTGAACGTCTTACATTTTTAATAGACATGTTAGGAAAATACCCATTTACAACAAGATGAGGGTAAGACTGTAACAAAACTGCTCGAAATTGTTCCAGCAATGTTCGCTTAGAACCAAGTCCATAAAACAGGAGATTAAAGCCTTCCCTAATGAAGAGATTGAGAGCATCAACTTAAAACTGAATGGAACACGCTGGAAAATTTTGGCCATGCTTTAACGCACCATAATTCAGACATCCACCAGTTAAATTTCTTCCTGTAAATCTTATATAGTAAGCAGCGAGCGCGTTGATTCTTGGCATATTCTGCACAATTATCAATTGTATCTTCCTAAAACAAAGCAAACGGTTCGATAGCTTATAAACATCGGATAGCAAATTTGCAATTTAAGGTCACATTGTATCTATTTCTATAATTAAACTGCCTTCAGGGCTAACTTGAATCAATAACGATAAAAATTATAATATTAAAGGTATTACGTCTTTTATATTATAATTATCATTTTGCCGAAGAATTTCAATAATGTTCGATGATGTTTTCATTTTGGAGTGATAACGATCGAAAAAGTCCATCCTTAACTTGTTCTATTCACGCACGAATAATAGGAGAATCACCGAATAACGCCAATGTGGATATAAATTAATTATATACTCTTACGTATATTAATTTTGAAAGATTAATTCAATACACAGTATAAGTAGATTACCATGTCCAATTTCTTAGAACTAGTCGTTGTAGACGATTCTGCTTCCCTACCATAATAAATACAGTATCAGTATTGTTATTGTTACAATAATTACGTCAACGGGTAGAAACAGAATGATTAGTTTAAATACTGACAGATCGGATCCGTTGTCATCGATATTGTTAGTGTCCTCGTCCACGGAAACATCACTTCCTTCAATTGATTAAATTTTATTTTGCTTTTAGCAACCGATTAGATAACAAGAAGCAATAAAATAGCAATTTCTTAGTAATATCAAGAACTACTAGAAGAGAACGATTCTCTTGTAGTAGTCTTCGGTATACTTGAGATTATTTTCTGTTACCATTTTCTTCTACGCTATTCTCATGTACTTGATTGGAAATTGGCTTTAGGGCACCCCTCTGTGAGGATGAATTTTAAGGAAGAGCTTAGCTAATCACAGTATTTAGAGATGTCAGTAAGTTTTTCGCATTACTGCTATCCATTAGTGTACTAATGGGCTAGATATGAAAATTATTATATATAGATAGATACGCTTGTATATCTATTATCAGAAATAAATTTACCTTTTGTGATGGAAATTTTTTCGTATCTTCTAAGTGATATATAGTAAGATAGATGGAAGACATTGGAACAATCATTATTTTACTAATATTGTATAGCTTGCACTATGGGTCTTGTCGAGGTTATTTGCCATGCTATACTAATTGAATCATATATTTGCTGTACTATGCAGTGTCCATTAATTGTAAGTATGAAATTTTTTACCATCTAGCCTAGCCAATTTTCCTCTTTTATTCCTCCGCTTGTATTGGTATAATTGTCTTCCTCCTTCTACATTCGTACATATATTAATGCATAGTCTAGGCGTTATAAATAACAACTCTACGCGTATCTTAAGATAGTAGAGATATACTGTCTTTTGCATGGGCGATATCCAATGCAAAGCGGTATTATTATTGGTAACTATAATACTGAAGATGAAATAACGCAAGTAATAGAGGGACGTCAAAGCTCATGTAGTAGTTTAATTCGACGGAAAAATACTGTAGATAAACATAGTTGGGAGACGGCGTTATGGTTATACAAATTATCGCTATAGAAATATGTGTATTAAGCACAATAATAAATGTTCATTTATGAAGAATACGAGCGGGACATTCTACTCCTGTAATAATATTATGTACTTGTAGTAACGATAATATGCAGTTTGTACTGGCAATATCCAATACGACGGATACCAGAATGGTTGTCTTGTCACCTAACTTGAACTAACATATAATGCAGGAACATCAAGGTGAATACTGTAGAGTAGTTTTCGTTTGGTGAAAAAGCTGTCTATATAGTCTGCAAAGTAGGACTGTAGCCTTCATTATGATCTTTTTTAACTATTTTCTCGTACATACAATATTAAATTGTTAAGGCTAGCCATGATGTGATCTTGAATAGATACTGTCCGCGAAAATGAGTTTTAAGAGAAGTCTGTGAATAATGTTGTACCTGTAGCTTCAGTTTTAGAACATCTCTGATATGCACCTGTTGCACCATCATGGTCATCGCTCGGTTCGATAATAATTGGTTTTGAAGTCCGGCTGGACGTAGTCTTATTTTGTTTATCGTTGCCTACTATCAAAGTATATAAAAGTTGTAGAAGGAATAGCTGATAAGATTTGAACGGCATATTGCAATCAATAGGACAAAATGTTGAGTGAAGAAAGGAATTTTTGAAATTATGTGTATCTATTCGATTCAAATTAAGTCTAGTAGTAATTAATTGATTCTATAATTATCCATCACATCTCCATCGCAAGTAGATACCATAAGCAACAGCCGACAAGGAGGTTAGGCGGAGATAGAAACTACTTTTTTAAATATGGTAAAGAAGAAGCTTTCTATCTCTTCCTGATTCTATTTCAAATGACTTTGTCCGAATATGCAATGCGGATCAGCTACATGGCTGTATTCCGAAGAGGGAGAGTATCTTATTAAGAGTAGCAATATCTTACTATCCCTTGGAGCTTTGGTGAAGGCCTAAAAGCACAATTACGCATCTACTAAGCCGACAACATACTACTGTACTCGTATTTATCATGCACAGAAAGTATCGCTAGCAGTACAAAGTGGTTCATTGTCATCCAAGCAATCTATGAAATGCTCGTTACTTGGAGATACAGAACAGATTGAGAGTATGTTGAAAGGTGTTGACTGCTGCAATGAATCCATTCTTGAATGCAAGGATAAGAGTAAAAATCATGCACAACACAGCAAGAATGATATTTTAAGGGTACAATGGTAATATGATTTGTAATCAATCAGGTCAATTTTGTCGCAGTTGCTGATGGCAGCGATCTTGCTGGAACAAGATGTTTGTCTACCTGTATCTTCCTCTAGACGTACCTGCAATGTTGACAATATGATCGACCACGTTGTCATCGCCTAAAAAGGTGATACTTAGGTCCACTTTAGCCATAGCAGCTATCCAAACTATCGTGTTGAAGAGAATCGATTCATGGAGACGTAGCTTATTCAAGCTAGCAGCTCATCATTTGCGAGCTCGTCTCATTGGCTACCAACTACGTCACGATCGTTCTACCAAGCGAGAACAATAACCCAATACAAAACCATCATTCATTTTCATCCAGTGTGGTCCAGTAGAATAACGCCATCCTCGTCTACACACTACACTCAGTACCGTGAGTAGAGGTAAGGTGCGGTACGCATGCGGGACAATCACTCCAGTGCTGGACCGTGCCGTACCGTACCGTACTGCGTGTACTCAATTTTATCCATGTACTGTATGAATGAATACGGTTTCGGAACGGTTATGGAACGGTACCGCTGGCAATTTTACCATACAGTACAGTACTGTACACTGTGTACAGTACTGTACTGTATGTTCTCAACTGGTGACGAGATGGGCACCGAACTTTCCGAGATCCTATACTGTAAGTGTAAAAAGTGTCACTTGTTATTTGGGCCTCTTAATCCAGTTAAGTGCATCATGATGACTGTATTTCATGCACTACAGTGCTACTACTACTACCGTATTCAATTCAAGTGTGAAAAATGACACATTTGAGTGGAGTCTCTTGAGTGATCATTGTCTGAATCTCATCAACTAGTGGACATTACTACTCCAAGGAAGAGAAAGGGACGAGACACGGCCCAAAGGTGGCAAAAATAAAGGAGGTTGACTATTTTGTGGTCATTTTATAATACGCTACCGCTGTAACAGTCCACCGTACTGTGCAAAACCAGCCTGGCAGATAATTTGCAGTACTGTACTACTGTATACTGTACGCTAAAGAATGTACTGTACACTCTACAGTACAGTGTACAGTGTACAGTACTGTACAGAATGCATGCAATGGTGTACACTGTACAGGAGGTAGAAAATGCGTCCATCTGCAATCCATAACCTGTGCCCTAAATGCCTCCATTTTAGCACTAGAGTACTGCACGACTCTAACAGCTGCTCTTGGTGCACATTCTTCTTTTTTATTTTTTTTCTAACTTGTGTTATCATGAGAATGCTTGTTTAGTTGACTGGGGGAGTTTTCGGATCGGATTTCGGATTTTATATAGCACTTTCAATCGGATTAAATGTTTAGTCGTAGTGGGGTTACAATACACTACTCAAGGGTCTCACTACACTGCAAAAAGCGATCCTTTCCACCAAATTGATCGCCTCAAAATTGCAGTTTGGTCAAAGCGTACTTGATCTCAATAGTTTCAGTTGGCTACTCGTGTTGCATAAAATAGCCCAGCCTAGACGTCGCCATGAGCGACTTGTTTCGTACAAGTCCATAGCGCAATTGGCACCTATGTTGTCATTCTCGCACCAATCTCTTGTCCAGGTTATGCGGTCAAGTCAATTGCTCTTAAGCCATTCTTGATCGTGGTGGTGCCGTAGCCGGAGTAGTCCGTCGTCCTGTGCATTGCACCACACTTCCCTCTGTCTGTCTGCCCGGAACTGGACAAGTCCTGATGTCTGTCCTACCGGACGACTGGGTGTTGAATCGGCCGGCGATGACAAGGGTGCAATACACCACCTAGCACCCGACGACAATCCACTCCTTGTCTAGTAGGGATGGTACTCAGCAATGAGTCTGTTTTATAGAGTACAGTATTAGAAATTGAAGCTGTGCTCTAGTCTACACTCAGAAATGACGAGTATCGTCTTAGCACCTGTATTGTCCGACATGACAATGGGACAAGAGGAGTATTTGCCAAGTTGGCTGACTATGGAGTGTAGCGTACATGTCCATCATACAGTTGAATTAGTATAGGGAGGGGATTGTCCATGATGCGTTTTGACACGCTACCCACAACACCCATAGGGAAAGTACCTGTGCACTACTCAACTCCACTGGCTAGCGTATGATAGCCAAGTGGAATCGGCATGACCATACCATGCTACGCCAAATTTTACTGCAGTAGGATCGATCGGCAATGATGGATGATAAATCAATCGATGATTTCTTCGCGAAGAAAGATAAATCCAAGAAGAAAAAGAAAGGAGGCCCAAAGAAATTCACCACTACTGAGACCATTACCAAAGCTATCCATGATCAACAAGCTGCAAAGAAAGAACAAGAACAAATAGAAAGCACACAAATGCCATCGCCTTTTATTAAAGTAAGCTGATGGCTGTCGCAACTGCAGTTGAATGCCAAGACTAGGGCATCTATTTTTCAGGATGCTATTCCACTGGTCGATGGAGTCTCCATCGAGTCAGACGAGTTGTGTTAGTAATATTCAAGGGAGGATGAGTTGGATAGATTGACAGTGGAGTGAATGGATGTGTTGAATTGCATTTGTAGTCCAAGAAGACAATTTTATTTGCTTACGGTTATTTCCCATGTGGTACTGTAGTCATCCTATGTTCAGATGGGATCACTACCATGGTTACCAACATGTCTTTTGCCCACTACTTTTGCAATACATCAATTCATCCAATACCATAATGGCTCTGATATCCCATGATAGTCAGACTAGTTTTATGTTGGATGGCTTGCATTAAAATCATTGGCAAAGTGAATGAAGAAAAAGAATGCCATGACGGTAGACCTATTTTAGCCCAACATGTTACTGTAGTAGGCAATGGACAATCATGCCTTGAATAGGCTAGCATACCACCAATGGAAACGACTACAGCAGTTGTAAAGGTCAGCATGGATATCAAACCATCAAAGATACATCGTGCATAGTGAATGGAGAACAGCTGTGGCTAAATGACTTGTTTGATGATGACAAAATACGATACTGCCTGTACAATTTGTTCTTTACTGTCTCGTGATCGACTGTCCCTGCTTGGAACACCAATACCAAGATGGAATGGACATGCTAATCGTGATCAAGGATGCTCTATCACAGTATTCACTTGAATCACTTGAACAAAAGTGTCTTCTTCAATGCTTCTCAATACCCTTAGTTGTTGTACTTTGGCAGGATGATGTTACACGACAGCCACTTACTGTAATTGAACGAAAAGCGAGCAATCGTAATTGTACTCCGCTAGCCGACTGAGCCAATTGCACGATACCAAATAATATCATAGCTTTACAATAAGAGCAAAGCACACATACAATGCTACAGTTTGAAAAGTGAATCTTATTCGATAGTTATACTATTCGCTAGTCCTCTTTTAAACTGAACATCATCCCTTTTTCCGCTAACTAATAGCCTATTCACGTCTTTGCCATTCCTAGGGTGACGATGAATGGATTGATTTTAAACAGAAAGAAAAAGCCGATTTCTCTGCTCTTGATTTGGAAGATTTAAATATTAGGTAATAAAGATAAGCATGACCGTTGAATTCTTTCTATTCCACCATGATTCATCAACTTTCAACACCAATTACTTTCATATTTATTATCACTAATTGCACTCTCCATATGAAATATATCTCCGTTCTTATCCTTGCAGTAGCAGTGGTAATGCACAAGAAGATCAACCCAAATTAGAAAATGCCACTGAAGGTTTGCAGTATGAATCTACTTCGATAGTATCTTAGCTAACAGACGACTAAAAAAGAAGCTCAAATGTTCAGTCAGCTGCTTGCTTAATTTACTGTTGAATTGCCTGAAAGTTTTTCTAATGGATGTAATATCTGACATGCATTATAATTAATTATACGCCTACACGTAGATGATGAAAAAGTAGATGATGCAGCGACTCCATGGCAAGGTGATGTCATAAGACAGAAAAATATACCAGATGATACAGAGGAGCAACAGCCGCAAACGATTGAAAGTATGCCGTTAAATAACAATTTTTAATGAAAGGAATAACTTTCGTTTCCATTAACCATTGTTACTTTATTAATGCATCTTTAGCGCCAGCCCCTGCAAGTCAAGATGCACAACCAGAAAGCACTGCTACCCCTAAAACCGGCGGCAAGTACATACCGCCTGCATTAAAGAGAGCTTTAGGTAAGAAATTGATATTCTTACGGTATTTTCGTCCTTGCCTTCCAATCATTGCAAAATAAATTATTGGATAGAGGGTAAGGCCGGAGGAGATGATCAAGGCACTCCTGCTCCTGCCAAAAGTACTGGCAAATATGTTCCTCCATCAAGGCGAAGAACTCAAGGTATTCATATATTAGAACTCTGTCATGACAAGTCTGCGATACAAAGTTCATTACCAATGCAATCGATTCCGATCATGAATAAGACAAAGCCATGCTAGTTCTTCTCCTATCAATTGTTACAGGTTCTTTTACGTTTTGTAGATGGACCAGGGTCAGATAACATCTATAGCGAAAGAAGTTACGTCGTACCTTCGCGAAGAGGCGGCCATAAAGTTGATGCACCTTCTCTACATGACGAAGCAGAATTCCCATCGCTTACGGATTCTATTCCGAAAGAGTCGAAGGAGAATGCACCGTACGTAATGATTTGTGAACGTAATGGTGTCGATAAGTCGAAATTGATCTTGTTTTATTTCTCCCATAATAGAGTAACTCAACGATCTTTTGAATATGTTCGACATGGAGGAAGGCCCTCAGGGCTCGCAAGTTCTCAGCCTGTAGAATTAGATAACAAGTATCAGTCTTTAAGTAATTGAATTACTGGTAAGACAGTTTGACAGATATAAAATTGGAAGGTATGAGATCTTCTTATCTATCTCAATTGTACTTGGGAAACTTTTCTATTCAATTCAGACGTCTGGAAATTCTAGAGTAAATTTGAAAATACTCCAATTAATTTCTAGTTTTGAGCGTTACGATGCGGTGAAGTTTAATAACGTTTTGAATCATTGCATATATTAGTAGATGTACTATGATTGTAGTGCAGTATTCGCTAACTACTAAAGTCACAGTCATACGATGTTGATGCGGTGTAATTCATAACTTAGCTCTATATGTTTATTGAGATTTAATTAATTCTATTATGTACATTGGATGCTACCATTCAGAATTGGATGGTGACTGCATTGCGTATCTTGATAAATCATGCGTGCATGAAATTGCTATTAACTTAATTGAAATTATTGTACGCTAAATAATTAGATTCAATAAAAATTGTGAAATCTGTTCACTTTCTTGTCATGTATATTAATGAATCGAGTTCGTGCTTTGTATTTTTAGGTAAAGTGTTAATTGCTTCCCTTCAATATACCTAATGTACGCTGAACCTTGACTTTCTACTTTAATGTCTCGCAAATTCGAGTAATTTGGATCGATCGTAAATCAATCAGGCAATAAAAATAGCGTTCAACTGAAACGGAACAAGACATGGCATCATCGAATGCTACATGATGTAGATTCCTTGATTGAAAAAATCGAAGAGTCTTTACTCGATGCCGCAGTTATATCTTTCCGTTCATCGATCGTGCTAAATAGTCATTATTTCCAACAAACACGTAAAATAATAGGATCGTACTTATGAGTAGAGGCTGTTGAAAGTATATCCTCCATTCATTTGGTTTTATGATCATCCAAACCCCACTACTATAAAAGTACTATATAATTTGTTTTTTAACTGTTGCACGAGTGCGAGTATGTATGTAAGTGTATAACATATATATCATTGTCATCTAGTTTCCATATTAATCACCTCATAATGTTCGAATTTGCTTAGTTTTCATACATTTTGCTCTCACTAAATGACTCTTTATAGTACCAGCAGCAGTAGAATCATGCAACTCGAACAACAACAACGGTATATGTATTAGTGCAGAGCTTACAAAATTACGATTTGCAATGAACATACAGTATTTTTCTATTCTGAAGTCATTTATTATATGAAATTGGATCGAAGGCCATTTCGAATATGAGTCGAAGATTATATACGTGCTCCAGTACCTTCATATCTACGTAGAATTTTCAAGAACAATCACGCGTAGCATATATATTACGACCAATATCAGTAATCATTTTAATGCCGGTAATGGCTGTCCAATATATCATTTAATATCGATAATAGCTGTTCTATTATAAAAGATACAATGTACCTAGTGTACTCGTATCATATTATATTTATTGGTAGATTAATACCACAATAATTAAGCATTGATGAAATATAAATTACGTATAAAGTAGACCATATTTTTGTATTTAATGTGAACACAAAAATTGAATATCTCGGTATTGATACTATTTTTATTGGGTAACTTTAAGCCACAAAAACTGAATATCGATAAAATATATATTATCTAGTGCATTGGCGTATATGCTAATAAAGTACGTAAGCTACAATACTGGTCTCCTTATTTGTTTTTATTAGTTCCAGCTCCTGCTGTAGTTTATTTCTATTTATTTTATAGTGATCTCCATTACGATGCCTTTATAGTCTCTGATAGTACATAATGTTGGATCTTTTACCGGTAGTTGGATTGATGACAGCAACAACATCAGGTTTTCGCTGCATCATCATTTATTATTTGGCAGTATTGAAGAAATTAATCGTCTTGCCTGAATCTTGACCGATTCAGTTTAATTATTCTAACAGTATTTGAACGAAAAACAGAAGTAAAAGCATCGACAACGAATGGTTTATTATCTTACATAGCTTGTGCATCCTATTATACACTTACGTTTATTAAGTTCGTAGTTAAGAAAGCAAGCAAAGGTAAATTATTATAAATATCTTGCTTTAATCGTTGCTGGTCATTTTTATTTTTCTACAAGTAGTTCAACGTAGAATAAGAGTAAGAACAACAACCAAAAATTTTGTGATATACGTGGTTTACGTATCCTCTCATAGAGTTTTACCGTAGTAAAACAGGCAAGTGTATACCATGGTGTAAATATCTTGCTCTAACCATTGCAGGCTAGATCTATTCTACAGTACTAGTTTTTATTTGAACGTGAACTTTATTAGTATACTATAATTACTTTTACAGACTACAAAACTGTATCAGCATCTTAGCATAATTCAAGCTATCAGCTATAATTACATTAAATTACAGTTGTATCAGTGAATTAATTCTCTGCAAATATTAAACAGTCACATGTACGTAGCAGCTAGGATGGAACCTGCTACGCGCACAATAACTTCGAAATAATAGTCTAATGAAATACAGCTAAAGTTACTGTACTGAAAGATCATAACTTATGAATGGCCAGTAATCCTCTTTATGACGTCACTTTTTACCTCTATGTCCAGAGCATAAGTTTAGAGATACAACCCTAATAAGTGAAATAGATAATCTACTTAGAGTGAGAGTTGATCAGGATTAGATCATCGTGCATAACACTGTGGTACAACAATTTTGCTACTTGAAACCGTGACTATTCGTCATTATCCAGTTATGCAATGGCAATGTGTGCTTCAATTTATATCAATTTAACATTTTTATAACATAAATCGTCAATCTTGGCGGCTTGAGTAATGACGTTCGCTTTTAAAAGTGTTTCATTGCATTTCTCTAGCATAGATCGAGATACATGTTTACAATCATCAGCATAAGCTAAGGATTCAAACCATTTTTCAACATCATCACGGCGTTGATTGTGCATCTTGGCAACATAATCAATGGAAGATTGATGCTTATTTTGAATGAAAGTACGGCAAGATTGAGTGATACAGTCCAATAAAGAATTGAGTTGATCGCCATGACTATCTAGTAAATCCTTCCTAGCAGCCATGAGGAATGCACACCAAGGTGCAGCAATCTGCCCAATAGATCGAATTTCACCACTGTCATGGTAAGGCTTCGTTGTGAAACGTTCCCATAGAAAGGCGTCTGCATCACCGTTGTTGACACCATTGCGTAAACCAGTAAAGTTATTCAAGACCGTAAATTGGAAGAGATCATCCGAAGAGAGCCAACCTAATTCTTCACATAATACATAGGCCATGATATGGCTACCACTACCATACCGACTGATTCCGATCTTAGCCCCTTTCAGATTTTGTGTATTCGTATAAGGTGAGTTGCTACCACTTGAGACAACCCAGGTTAACGGTGAAGCAACGTAGGTACCACAAATTTGAAATTCATCGGCCCCTTTAGCGATGCTAGCAACTAGACCTTCAGTCAAAGCCATAACCATGTCAAGTCGACCCGTTTTTAAGCCTTCGATCATCTCTCCAGTTCCACCTGGGCAAGAAATGAGCTCGACATTAAAGCCACTCTGCAAAAATTGACCTTGTTCCTTCGCGATATGCAATGGAGTGTTAAAGTGTTCCGGTACCCCACCAATTTTGATTTCCATCTTTTGTGCTATCTTGAGCGTTTATACCAACTATTAGAATAATGCTTTAGGAGCAAGACTGTATTGATTTAACTTACTGTACAAGGATTTCCTTCATATAACCCTGGAAAGTGCTGGAATGGTGTCTATTTTTGTACTACGGAAAGCACAACTGATTATTGATTTGATGAAGGCGTTGTCGAAGTGATATTGTGGAGATACAGTAGATTCGAATGGCATCAGCTGTATACTATGCTATACATGGCATAGATGTGTTATGGATACTATAGCGGTAATCTAGTAAGCCACTGCACATGCTCTAACAAGAAACTGTGCAAAGCCAGATGTCACTGCTTGAGCTTCATTTCTACCACAGTAGATTGCATGCTATCACTAGGAGTGTGACAATATCTTTGCACACCACCATCAAGCTAAGATTTACCAAATTGGTCGCTTCTGCTTCCAATGTCATGAAGGAAAGGCTACTGTTGATTCGATTTGATTCCATTTGCGATGTATCTGGTTTACAGAGTACAATACATTAGAAACTGCATGCACTAACACCAGTAGTATCTACTATAAATTAGGATAAATTTAAAATAGTAAATGAAAAGCAACTGACACAGATATCTTGCCAAACGTAATTAAAATTTAAATCCAGTAAGCGTCAGCAGATAAAAATAGCATATACATGTTATAATTTATTGCGAGTCCAATATGAACGGAAAATAAGAGCTAGCAATTCCAAAAAGATCTTGATTTATATACAACAAAAATAAACATCTTCTATCACCTTTACAAGTAACTCTAACATCCTAATTAGCGCAGTAGCGGCTTCTATTGGCACTAATGTGCGGGCATGTTAAGGTCTACTTTTCCATATGAGGCAGAGATAACAACTGGTTACATTACTAATAAACTTCTAGTCGGTTAAATTATTATAATCACTTATGCACACGTTCGCATACAATATGGATGGTCAAATTGCTTAAAATACATTTTTCATTCCGACAACAGTATTTAATGATCTGTATAAAACCGTATATATTGTATTACAGTCTATAGAACTATCAAGGGTATGCTGATTCATAACGTGCGTATCTTGTGCGCTAGACCATTTTTGCTCTAGTAAGTAATTAATTATTAATTTCTATGTTATCCATCAAGCATACTACACAAGTTCCTTTATGTCACTGTCACAATTTCACTTCTGCGACAAGGTAACGTACAGTAAAAGTCTATAAGTAGCTACTAACTTAAACGCCCTTTTACTTAACGTTAAACACACACAGCAAAAGACTGTAAAGATGAAGCTTTTATTAGCAAAGATACATCTACAACTTTTTACCACCCTCTCAACTCAAATGTTCCCGTTTATATAGGAACCGTCTAATTTGTAAACAACAACAGTATTATTATTATACCTTACTAGGAGAATCATCTCGAACTAAGATGCTCCTTAGATAGCTTTTCTATCAGTAAATATTTTGAATCTCTTACTCATACTTAATCTTAATCTAAGCTCGTAGGTTGTCTAATTCAACTATCATCAACTAGAACTTGAATCATCCTACTGCTATCTATCACACAATAACAATTAATACCAAATATGTAATGAACTATTACAAACAACATCCACGTTAAGGCATTACTTATCTTACCTAGCACTATAAATATGGATATTCTCCATACTAGCTACTACTGTACTTATTAAACTATCCGAATGACAAGGCAACACCGTAACAGTCATATAGCAAATATCTTGCATAATTAAATTATGAAACTTGTGGTGTTTAAATCGCCTTCTTGCGTAACCTAATGATCTCTTTAAAAAATTTCATATTGGTGCGATTTATATGAAACTTATTAACTATTTGCCCATGTTTGCCATAATATTTACAGTAAATGAGAAGATATACACTGATGTAGAGCTATTATGTATACAGTATATCTTAGGTGCTGTACAATTTCCTTCACCGGCAGCATTTATTGAACTCCATATACGAGTGCATCTCAAATTATAATAGAATAGTAGTAAGATACAGGTAATGTGCTAGGAGTTTTTGCTCACACAACAACATTTATGTATTTCCTTCATTTCATGTATCGTATACTGGCATATAAACGTTTATTCGTACCTGAAATACTCGAGTGTACAATATTTTTAATATTCTAATCCGTGCGGTATGCGTATACAGATTGTATGTTCTAGTGCAGTAGCCAGTATTTTAACTTGTTAAAATTCATTGCTGAATTAGTGCACTTTATCTATTTTGTATTCGAAACTACCCATACTGAACTTAATGTTTTTTATTAACGTTACTCTCCACCAAGTAATTCAATGTGATGGGAAAAATATCCAATAAACATTTTATAATCAACCCGTTGAAATTTTCGCGTGCTGGCTAACTATAGACACTTTCTCGACTCTGTCATCAGCATAACCCATACCAAGTTCTATCTTAATTAACGCTTACCGATCAGGTAATGCAATTTAATAGGATAATATGCAATAAGTGTTTTATAATGTACCGGGTTGGAATTCTTACATTGTTACAATTATAGATGCACATTGATAGATTATCGATTCTGTAATCAGGATTAGCCATGCTGAATTAAATCTTTCAGACGCTACTATTATGCCTGGTTGACTGGTGAGCTCATTTGAGAGGGTTACACGAAGTAGAGCACTCTGAGAATAACAGCTTGTAACTAAACGCAATCTTCTAACTTTTTCTACATATTTCTATATAGCGTCTGCATATAATTATTCTATCAGGTAATTTAATTTAATAGGATAATATGAAATAAGTGTTTTATAATTATTAATAGTTCTGTATTAATGTGCGTCCATCAACTCACAAAATGCACTACTTTGGAGCGCTTAATCCATTACAGGATGCAATTGAAATGATTGTGTCGTGATAGCGCTACTCACAGTATGAGTATTATTGCAATTAATACCAAAATCAAGCGCTGGATAAAATCGAAGGGCGAATAAGGTTAAATTTCTTACCTATCGATTTAACAATATGCTAGGAACTTGCTATTAATGATGAACAGTTTAGCGTAGTCAGGAAGAAAATCTTACTTAGACGCTTATTGTACATATTTAAATGTAGAAATCGGCTTATATAAGTCGAATCTAGATTGCATTAAAACCGTCAATGGTTTATAGTAGATTCAAGATGGTAATAAGGTCTCTAATGGATATCAGTACAGCACAAAAGTAAGTTAATATCTAGTATTGAGCTATAGTAATGCATTCAGTTCCTTAAACTTACTGCCGTCACTCTGCCTATAGTTAGAAGCATGGACACTATGACTTGCATTATTCTAATGATGGACATGATGTATTATACATAAAATAGCTTGATGAAAGTAAAAGGGAATAAAATCTGCCTTTCTTGCCGCTATTACTAATCATTCTCTTAAATTTAAATACTAACATTACATCAATTATGCTTTTCCATATAGGTGATATCCAGCGGTTCAAATTGACTCCATTTTCTACAAGTGAAACGTTTTTATCGAATGAAACTGCTGTAATCTTTCCGGTCTACAAAGCCATTATTGATTTCTCCTTATCAACCGAAATAATAACTTTTATTAGCGGCAGTAATCTCGGTACTTTTAAGTAAACAATTATTTGGATGTACGATAGAAGCATAGTAATTGTCAGCGATAAGTAACACACTTATGGAGCACAAGGGCTATTGACTCAGTAATCATTATTAACCTTAAAAAAATACCTTATAACGATACGATAAATTACCTTGATTAGATAATATTGTAATCATCCAACCGAATTTACATGTAAAGTAGTCATCATTAGTATTTATTCTATCATGCAAGAAATACTTATACAATCATAACAACGCCAAGGAATTATAATCAATCAAAAATAATCAATTTAATTCCTCTGGATAGCGTTAGATTAGTTTAATACTGATGCTTGAATAATATTCAGTTGGCCATCAGTTTAACATCAACAAGGCTACAGAAAGATTGGAAAGAAATAGAGGATTTGATGGATGGAATAATAAGGGTGTCTACATTAAGAAGTTAAATAGTCTTTCAACCGTATGCAACTTATTTTTACTATGGCTCAAAGTCGCAAATAGACCATATCCATGATCAAAAAAGGCTCTAAATGGGCATAGATTAATATCCATACTGTTTGAATATCTGTAACAATACGTTAATTAACCGGTAGACTGATTGATATAATCTCTATTTATGGCATAGATTACCATGACTTCAATTAGAAAAGAGACAACATTTGTTTTATCCATCATTGATATTCAATTATCAAGATGGACAATCTATCATTTTTATTAATCAAGATCCTACGTATGGCGTTGGACTAATTGTTAAAGAGCGATAATTAACCTGCTAACAATAATAAAGACGCCAGCTATTAATGTTTTTCTCATCATTGATGGTAAATGCCATTTTACCAGCAGATCGATATTCCCTTATTATTTTTCATCTTGATTGATTTTTAACCCCTCAATACCATGTCATCGATTGCACCTGGCTGATGATACATACAATCATCACATTTTTGATAGATTGAAATAATCGTGTAACATTTCTGTCTTAATCCTAGATTAAAAATGCGCGCATATATTTTAGGCTAGTTTATTGTTATTTTATGATTTTATTTCATTTAACACCTACGATATAGAAGTTTTACGCTTGCATCAATAATCTACTTTAAGTCGATTTATCAAATCTTCTAGATAAAGCTGGTATGCAATAATTTCTATTATGGAGATATAATATTTATTATTTTAGAAGTTACTATAAGATATTAATGGTAAATCCAAAATAAGAAACGAATCGAAAAAAGTTCGAAGCTATACCATGATCATTTTCTGCCCTTATTGTCGATGTTTGAGTAGTGTTGACTTAATACAATTTCAAGTTTACTATGTCTTGCTTAAGTAAATTATCGCAGACAGTTTGGTGTCGATTATTCAAACTGCTATCCATTTCATTCAAGTTCTATCAGCAAC